TTTCAGCTAAAAATTCAATCGGGAAGGCACTCAAATAATTTCTTGAAGTTAACTGGGCAGTTTATATGTATGAACTTCCCAGTTAACTTCAAGAAATTATTTGAGTGTCTTCCCGATTGAATTTTTAGCTAAACTTTGGTATGGATAAATTAGACTTCATGAAGAACATGATAAGAAAAATTCATCAAAAAATTCCATCGGGAAGTGCGTGAAATTCCCGCGGCCGGACGGCGGTTCCCGTCAGGGTCAGGCCGGCTGGACACGAAAAGTTGTCAATTTTAATATATATGTTCCATTATCATCCATAACTTGTAGATTATAATAAGACGGTAAGAACGAAAGAATTAGCATGGGTGCTATGCTTTAAGATTTTTTTTAACAGGTGAAAAAGGTGGATCGTCTAATAAAGCAGTTGAATCTAGAGACGAGCAGTGAATATTTGATCACCTAACTAAAGATAATAAGGGGGTGTTTGGCAATGATTCTTAAAACTACTTCTGCTTCTTCAGGGAGCAGAAGTAGAAGCTAAGTTGGAATGTTTAGGCAAAAATGTAGAAGTAATTCTAGTATCTAATTTATTCATAGAATCAATTTTTGTAGTAGCTGGGGGGACCAACTTATGAAACTGATTCTGATTCTGCTTTTACTTAAAAAAAGAAGAAGCAGAATCAGAATCAGTTCCAAACACCCCAAAATGGTCGCAGTTTTTTATATGCATCTTACATGAATGACCCTTATAACGAAGGGTAACGTATATGCCATACTTAAGTTATTTGTTGGAATTATGAAGCACTCAATAACTTAAAGGAAATAAGATATCATTATCTCTTTGGGTCGACAACAACGTAACTAGACCAGTCAATTGTGAATTTTTTACATAATACTACGTAAGATACATGAAATGGTTTGAGTAGTGATGCTTTCTACCTTAATCGTGATGGGAAAGAGTGGACTCCGCTCCAGTTCCAAAATTAGGAAGGAAACCTACTGCATGTAACTATTGTCTATATATGCATTTGAATTCTATTTTTGTACTGCTATATGTAGAGCTTTACGAGTTACTGAACATATTTTTGAATTAATTTCACTTTTGGTACTATGAGTTTTGTATCAATTTCACCTTTAATCCACGTCTTTCATTTTGTTCACTTTTAGTACTTGACTACTGTTTTTAACCGCTTTTGATCATTTTCCAGCGATTTTAATCATCGGAAACAATGGCAAAAGGACATATATAGGTGAAAACACAATAATCATGTATCAAAAGTGAATAAAGTGAAAAATGTGGACTAAATGTTGAATTAACCTAAAACTCGTAGGACCAAAAGTGAAATTTATTGTATTTTTATACTTCAATGTACACTAACTTAGACCATTTGTAGTGGTAAGCTAAGGTATTAGGAGTCTAAAATGTTAAAAATAGAAATTTTAGACTCCTAAATACTTACATTGGCTGAAAATAAATACACAAAACATAAATTTGTAATCCATGGTGTCTCAACAAATAATCAAACTGTAGTTGAACCCAATTTTAAACCCCATTTTAAATACACGAAGCATAAAAAGTATAAAAGAAATTAAAGATTTTTTTTATCATCTAAATGTGCATTTTTACACACATAATGGAGAAGAGAATCCGATGTGATATGAATAGACATATCAAGTTGAAGGGAATCCAATGTGTTATGGATAGACACACAAGTTGAGAAGAGAATTCAATGCTCCAATGTGTTTGAACTCACTTCATCGAAATATGAAAGAAAAAATTAATGAAATTTATTTAATTTTACATCAAATGTTTATTTTTTATTTCATAATTACTTAGTGAAAATTTTAAAAGAAAAACAATACTTATAATAATTTAATTAATGTTTTACTAAATTGATATGTAAAAAATTATGATGAGTGTATTTTATTGATGTTGCTGGAACGAGACAAATAGAAGTCAAAACATTGTTTCACATGAACGGGCCCATTTTTAACTTTTTGGCCTCCCCACCACCCCAAATGGTCTTAGAGCATTACACATTATTAACACGTAAAGTTATCGGCCATTTAGCCATTTAGCACTCGCGCGTCGCGTCCACAAAACTAGTTTCTCTATAAAAGTGTTGCCGGTTAAAAAATTGTTGCATAAAATAATGGCACAAATTTAGATATAATAGATCTAATGTTACATAACATAAAAAAGATGTTGCATAATGTCATGTTATAAGTGTTGCATTTTGTTCAAAAAAGTGCAGCGTTGCATATTATTTTCTTTCAATGTTTTGAATGATAGTATTGCATTTGAGTTATTTATGCAACACTTAAATTCAATGTTACATAACATGGGGAAAAGTGTTGTGTATGAATTTATGCAACGAGACCTGAATAATGTTTGTAAAAGTGTTGTTTTAGCCTTTTGTAACACTTAAGGTGTCTAATGTAACTTTATAGGTGTTGCAAATGGTTAATTTTGTAGTAGTGAAAGTTGCATCGTACAAATATTTGTACAATAAGCATTGTTTGTACGTGATGCACCCTATTGTCTAAAAATAAATAGTTCTTTCACACTAAAAAAACATAACCACGAATTGAAATAGAAATTTCACAATATTTATACGGAGTATTATTCAATCAAATTTATGTGTCATAAAAGAGTGAGGCATTATGACGTGACATAAGTATGAAGAGCTAGCCTATTTTAGAGGAATAGGTTCAAATAGAATAGACTGCATACGAGTTTGAGTCTCGGAAGTCTTGATCCCATGCCCATCTCCATATTGATACATGAATTGAGCAACTCTAGCAACATTCGTTGCGACTTCAATGGATCTTTTCGAGAAGGATTTATCTTCAAATCCAATTTTATTCATCTTCTTCCATGCCTCATCTATTTGAAGATTGATATTTTCTTGAGCGTCATTCATTGAGACTCCAGCACTATTCATGTAACATTCCACAGCTTTTGGTGTATCGCCTCTTTTCATCTCATGCTGATATTATAGAAGAAATTCCAACATGTAATATAATATCAATATAATCATATATGAAGAAGATAAATAACTTATAAAGTACAAATTTCATAAATATAATTAAAAACAACACGTTTGACCATCATCGTTTATCAAATCTATTAAAAACATGAGTCACTAACATCTAAAAAATAAGTATTAACGTAACATTCTTTATTCTTTTTATAAAACTGAATATATGATAGTCTTATATGTGCCCACCATGTTTTAGTTGCAAGCTTACATTTCGAGATTGTTGAATTTACTAATTTAGCAAACCAAAATTTGATGTGTTTGGGAGTCTGTTTTTGCAATTGGGAGGGGAAGGCATGTGAGGTTTGGCCACCCTTCTATTTGTGTGTTTGGGAGTACAAAATGTAGAGGAACAGTTTTGGAAGGTTTTTGTGCCCCTCTAAAACCCCTCAAATGTCTAACTTTTAAATTCCTCCAAAATGGTGGATTTCAAAGAATCACTAGCTAACTAAATGATAATTTAAGCTAAATTCAAAATGAATATCAATTCAACTACTTGAATTCACCATATCTTAGAAATGATTTTAATTATAATTTCTTCAAAAAACTCTCGGTTTTCGAAATTTACTACTTCAAAATAAGAAGAAAAGGGTTTCCCCACTTTTCCTTCCTTTCCCCCAAACTCCGAGTTTTAATTTGACACATCACCAACGAACTCATGCAAATAAGGATAAAAATACGCATGTACGTACAGGTGATGTTCCTTTGTCGTTTGCTAAGCGGAGAACTAAAGATGGGAAACGAGCAATGTCATGATACTCTGATAGTCGACGCAAGGTTTCTTCATCCAAAGGGTTGTCCATAGGGTTGTAAACGAATTAAATAATTTGTGCTCGATTCGCGATTCGAATTCGTATAAGACGATTTGAATTCGGAAATTTAAATACAAATACAAATATGAATATTAAATTTGATTCGATTTGTTATCAAATACAAATAAGAATATCAGTGTATTCGATTCGAATATTAATCAAATATATTCGATTAATAATAGTGATAATATTAATAATTTTAATAATTATAATAACACTATAATAACTTTTAAAAGATAGCAATATCCTAAAGTGTAGTTCATATGTACATTTACGCATACAGATCCTAAGTTCATTTGTAATAAATCAGAGTATAAATACGAATACAAATCGGATTTTTGGTTCAAATGTCTTTCAAATACAATACAAATAATTATGTATTCGATTCGCAGAATAAAATTAGAGTCGTCTGACTTTGATATATACAATTATCAACTTATTTCACACATTGTAAGTGTAATTTCTAATATGTGTGTGTTAGTGTTTTTCAAAGAGTTTGAAATAGATTTATATTTATTAATCATAAAATTGATTCACTTTAGTATATCGTGCACAATCTAAAAATGCATTGATCCATTGAATTTAAATTCTAAAAACACATATTAAATCATAGCATACTTTACAACATAAAAAAATATAAGAAAATATAATTTTAAGTGATATTTCACTAATATTTAACCTATGCTCAAATCTATTCGATATTCGTAAAAGATTCGTTAACTATTCGTATTGTTAAACAAATACAAATACAAATCGGAATTAATATTCGTTTCATATTTGAATTCGAATTCGTATTCGAAAAAATTAAACAAATACAAATACAAAATCCTACTATTCGACTCGATTCGGTTCGTATACAACCCTAGTTGTCCACACAAACGAAAGCATGCACTATTATAAGAGCACCCGATATTGAAATCCATGAATTTTCAATGTATTCTTTGTATGTCGGCTTGTACCCACTGTGGAACCACTTTGCTTCTTGTAAGTGTGATTTGCAAAGATCTATCCACTGATTATACATCACGAATTTGTTCAGTGTCATAATCAGAATTAGTGAAAATACTGTACATGTAAATAAATTAAAATATGATCATATGGACATAGTACTTCGTATTGATTACTAGCTAGTTCTTGAAATTACCGTTTTTCTTAAATAGCGGGATACAAGAATGCCTTGTTCTTTACAAACGTCATACGCCACTTCATTAACAAAGTTGTGGACTGCAAAATAACTAAGCTTCATGTACTCGGGAAGATGCCCAATGTTTGCTGTATCACTCCATCTAAATCGATTGAAGAAGTAAAAGTGATCAAAAAAGTAAAAAAAAAAAAAAAAAAAAAATTAACTTAACAAATCATACCAGACTTAAACAGACTAAACTTAAACAAAACTAATCAGATCTCGACACTTGTAAATTACACATACACCAGACATCTATCAAACAAATCAGTTCGACACTAGATTTTGACAGTTGTGAAATACACATGGTTCAGACATCTATCAAATAGATCAGAACATACCAATTGAGACCAATCTAGATCAAATATAAGTAGACCAGAACATGGACATATCAAACCAGGCAAAAAATCCAGTTTAATTAAAAACATCCTAAGTTAGTATTTATGCTATGTTTAGATTTGGATACCACCTAAAAAGTCAACCACATAAAAGAGTAAGTAGCCCCAACCTTACTTACCTATTTTGATTATTACACAACGCAGGACATGAGGTCAAAAGTTATGTATTTAATAGAAAAACTAGTTGATAAGGTTGATAAACTAATGTTATCAAATGAACTCTTAGTCAATGAGGTTTTATGTACCATTTTAATAACCTCTCAAGAATGACATGCCAAGTGTCAACGTATATACATCTTTATAGAGTATATATAATATATATGTTTCTAATCTAATCTATCTAAAATGTTATAATGGTGAATGAAGATAAGAGTACTTTCGGCATAAAAAATGTATTGGTGTAACTATAAGCAAATACTACGTATATGCTTGTACTTTGAGCTAAAATCAATGTACTTTAGTTTCTCCACCATTTTTAATACCGGATGACCCCTCCCATTCCGTTAGTTATTCTGTCTATTAGAGTTTTGGATGCCTAATAGACTATTCTGTCAAATAGATGCACAAGCACTATTTTACTATATACTCCCTTCGTCCCGCTATGATTGTCTCATTTTACCTTTTCGGTCCGTCCCACTAAGATTGTCTCATATCTTATTTGGTAAAATTTATGTGATTCTAAATCATTCTTACTTTATTCTTACTTTATCAATTCAATATCAATCACATAAACTCACTTTTATTAATAACCGTGTCACATTCTCTTGTTCCAAACTTAGGGAGACGGAGGTAATATTTTACTTTTTTTGTAGCGGCACATAAAAAAGATGGAATCATTGATGTTCAATAATTCAATTATTATATCCAACAATACCAGCACGTTTCTTTTTTTCCTTGCTCTATATTTTCCTAAGTCGTTAGTTTTTTTGCTTAACAAATATACCACACAACAAGGTATTATGAGTATATATGTCTTTTTTCCTTTCTTTCTCAAGCAAGAAATAGAAACAAACCGTCAACACTACTCTTTCGATAAAATGTGACCCCTTTTATTAATGGGTTTAATGCATGAAACCCACTAGCACCAGGCTCATAGCAAGTTGTATATTAATCACTAAAGTGTCATACACTTTATTTTAAAAAAATAAGGTTATTAAGTTGATATAATACTACGTATATCCTAGCTATATTTAGGCTGTACAACCGCCGCCATTTCTCCCAAAAATTAATATCAACAATTCATTTGTTCTATATTCGTTTTATTCCTGAAGTATATTCTTTTTTTGAAAGGAAGTATTTTCCTTATAAACATTTCTTTTTGCACAGTGAAATTTTATGAATTGAGTTGAGCATTCTATAATGAATAATGTTGTTTGTACACGTTTTTTATAAACGCCATTTTATAGATACGCCGGCCAAATTGTTTGTACACTGACAATTTTTTTTTGTTTTGTGAAGAAAGTTGTTTTTCATACCGACAAACTTTTGTCGGTAGAACATGAAAAGAAATTAACAGTGCCAAAACCAATTCTCCTCTCAAAATGAAAAAAAAAAACATGTAAGGGTACATACCTTTGAATGACATCCGTGAAGACTTGCAGTTCATCCAAAGTCCCATAAACATCGTATATATCATCAATTGTGCAAAGGAGACAATTAAGCTTTGCCTCAACTCTTCTGGCGTTTGAATACCTGGGGGAGTTAAATATTCCTACCGTCCAAAAGAAATTTTCTACTACTCTATCTCTCACAAAATTCAATCTTTCTACAATATATGAACTCTTCCACCACCTGCACTCATAATATACCAAATACCTTAATAAAACTTAGTTAATATTAATTAAACACTTGATTTGTACAATATTTATTTTTTAATATAATTTTAGACAAAAGTGACATGTATATTAGTAACAGAGTTTCCCCGGATAAATATATGAATCGTTATATTTTTGGATAAAAATATGATTAGTCATTGTGTACGAGTAACTAGACAAGAGTCATTATAGTGTATTTTAGAGTGACAAGTCACTGATATAGATGATGAGTCACTAGGAACTAGTCACTGAATATGTCATTTTTTTTGTAAAAATTTAAAATAAATCATATTTTTGTCTTTTGAATTTAATTTAGTAATATTCATGAAAAAAGGTTAAATGTAGACAGATTATATTGTGTAATTAATTTATAGTTCATTTAGAATATAATTATTTCTACTGTGATTGACGGTTTATGAAATGTATTAACTACTCCGTATGTAGGAGTAAATACTGCTTTTGGCCGTATCAGACTTTTATTCATGACACTCTTTGTCAAGCTTGACGGTAATTGCTCGTATTTAGGGGGGAAACATAATAGTCCTATTTTGGATTCTAAATCATTTTTACTCCTATTTTCAAGGATTTCCCTAATTAATTATAGTGTAAGCTTGCCCCCCCGAGAAAATTTTGTGGACAAATGATTTTAAGAAGTTTTATTTTAAAATTATGTAGGGTGTTTTTAATTTGATTGAATTTTTTTGATCTTATATGGTATGACATAGTCTAAATTGGTCTGATCTTGTGACGTCTTATTTATGTGTATTTTTATCTTTCAAAGTCTAATCTGATATGACTTGTTTAAGTCTGATTTAGACTTTTTATGTCTGGCTAGGCTTATTTTAGTCTTGTTTTGTGTGGGACAGAAAAGAGTCCAAAGTAAAAGTTATTTGGTATATTCCTGTGGTCAAGTCTTTGATATATACTAGTACTATCGTATTTGACATTCAAAAACTAAAAAAAAAAACTATCCCTTTTAAAATAGAGTTGTACATTCTTCCAAAAAAATAGTTTTACATCAGTTGTTATACCGTATGACCGGTATACGGTGAGCACCGTATACCGGCATACGGTTTTAAGAATCTTTGGAAGCTCCGCATGAAACATGTATTAAAATGATAGTGTGTCTTATTATTTATTTATTTCTCTTATTGTTAAAAACTATAATAACTTTTTCATTTGTAATCTGGTTTTTATAAAATTTATACCAATTTTTTTTATTTTTCATGATCTTTCAAATGAGACCAATATTGCCTATGTAATTTTAATATATTATCGAACTATTATATTAACCTATGTCAAATATGTAATTTTACATGTAGAAATATGTAACTCACGTTCAGGCAGGCAGAATGCAACTCGTGTGTATAAATATGTAACTCTACATGTAAAAATATGTAACTTTACGTGTAAAAATATGTAACTCGCGTTCAGACAGGTCAAATACAACTCGTGTGTATAAATATGTAACTCGCGTGTATAAATATGTAACTTTACGTGCAAAAATATGTAACTTTACATGTAAAAATATGTAACTCGCATTCAGGCAGGCCAAATGCAACTGGTGTGTATAAATATGTAACTTTACGTATAAAAATATGTAACTCGCGTACATTAAGATGTAACTCGCGTACAATAAGATATAACTCGCGCAGAAGAAGATGTAACTTCATGATATATTATCAAATGTAACTTCAAAAATCAAAATAAACAAACTCAATGTCTTAAAAACCTCTAAAAATATATAAAAGTGATAAAAAAAAGTTATAAAAAGTTTGTCCATATAAAAAATATAACAAAAAGTGTATGAATATAAAAAGTATATTAAAAAAAGTATATGAATATAAAAATTAATACAAAAAAATAGTGTATGAATATTAATTGCAATATACTTATTTTATTTAGATTAATAATTTTTTTGGTATGCATTGATAAAGAATAAAAAAAATAGAAAAGAATTATGAAATAAAATATACTTATTTATGTGGATTCATAAAATTTTGTAAAAATTATGTAAAGAAAAAATGTAAATTCAATTGTATTTTAATTAGTTAAAGATAAAGAAATAAAGAAAGAAAGCACTAACGGGATGAAAAAGAAAGAAAACACTAACCGGAGGAAAAAGAAAGAAAGCACTAACCGGAGGAAAAAGAAAGCTTCCGTAATGAGTTTAGGGAGGGGGAAAACGATACCGTGTTAGGACCGGCATACCATGCTCATGGTATGCCGGTTGCACGGTATAATTTGCGGTATTACATATTATGTGTCCACATTACATATTTACCATACCTACCTTGACACGGATTTCAATTCATGTTGGTGCAGAGTTTGAAAGAGGTTGAAGTCCAGTTTAGCGAATTCCAAAAAGAGAGGATTATGGTTCGGTTTTGCTTGGTACAAGTGAATGTTACTGCTGGCCTCCAGCCTCGGCACCCTCCAATGCAAAGGCATTTCCAGCGCCCGTTGAACGGCCGCCAAAAGGTTTGGGTCGGCGGTTCTGAAGCCGGCGGCCGCCTGTTTGAGATGTTTGGTGGAGAAGTCTCTGGCCAAGTCCAACGTGGCTTCACCTTCCATGGATAGAAAGGATGCTTCATATAAGCTTAGTAATCCCTTGGTATCTTCGCAAATGTCAGCCTTGAAATTGCCTCCACTTCCCTCCAGGAAACCATCAAACGCATCTACTCACATTCAAAGAATTCAATCATGATCAAAGTTTTATTTGACTCGAAACAAGTTTAATCTGGTCGGGTCTCATCATTTATTGATTTCATTCCCTATTAACTAAGTTCTCATTCATGGATTTTTTACGGCAAAAAATAAATCTTTTATTTTTTGCAGTAGATGACTAGATTGTTTAATAATCAAAATAGGTAATGTAATGTATTTTTCTAGATGAATTAATTGAAAAGTAGTTCTTTGTTATTTATAGAACTTTATTGTTCTTATGAAGATAAAATTTTAAACAGGGAAATATATTTAAACAATATCAACAATAATCGATCGACCAATAATATGTATAGTTTGGTAATCATTGTTACGTAATACATACCCAATTTGTTCGAATATAATATATAGTATAACGGAAATGATACAAACAACTTTTTAATATATGTACGGAGTATATTTATAATATACTCCCTCTGTCCCGAAATGAAGTTTCTGATTCGACCTACACATGTATTTATGTAAAATACAGTTTTGTTTTGATTTTTCAAATATACCCGTGCATTATACCAAATCAAACAAAAAAAGGTAAAAAATAAGGATAGTGATGACTTTTTTATTAAAGGTGGCTTCCTTTTATATAAATGAAAACTTCTTTTTTGTAGAATCCTTAAAAGGTAAATGGGAATATTTTTCGGTACAGAGGTAGTATATTCTTAATGGGGGTCAGAATGAAGGTATAACGGTGAATAAAATGAATTTTAGAGCACGGGTTTTATATAAAAATAGAATGAATTCAAATATACTTTTCTGAACCAGATCAATAAACGAGACCCATACTGCGAGTTGTTTCATGCCATAAATAAACTCGAACACTCAAGAAATCTGTTGGGCAAGCGGATTCACACCTCTTACAGCCTACGCAATTGGTACACGCAAAAAATAGGCCAGTTCGGCAGCTTTTTTTTCAATTTCTACCGGGGTGAAATTCTCATTAGTACGAGTCAAAGGAATAGCCCTCTGGCCTCGGATGTCCAAAATACTACCGTGTACCTTTTAGTATATTCCTAATGGGGTTCAGAGTTAGGTATAACGGTGATAGCATATTATGCCGATTCAACTTCAGAATTTTAGTAAACTCGTGTACTTTTAATCTTACTAGATTGGTTATAAGAGTATTTTTCATGCGTGTGAAACAAAATTTTCATGTTTTTTAATGATTCTAAATTCTGCAAGTATGGTGTGGTATGATCTAGCATGTTACTCCCTCTTACCCCCAATTAAGTTCCTGGATGAATTTCACACATTGCATATTAAGGAATTGAATATACTAGGGGGTCAATTTTATTGTTTTGACACTGTTTTGACACTGTTTGGCACTGTTATGCACTGTTTTGCACTGTTTGACACTATTTTGATATAGATAAGTTGCCAAATAAGGAAATGTATTGAAGTGAGAACTTAATTCAGGGACTGCCCAAAATGGAAAGTGAGAACTTAATTAGGGGACGGAGGGAGTATTATAGTGTAATACTTCTGGACGTACCTGCCAAGTTGTACACGCCCTGTGTATTCACCCACTTTGTCGGTGCACAAACAATTTTTTTATTTTTTTAAGTGAATTATGTGTGACACAGACGATTCAATTTTATCTGTGTCATATACATACTAAGTATAATTCACTTCACAAATATGAAAAAAGTTGTATGTATACAAAAGAAGACATGTACACAGGGGCAGTTCCAAGGGGTCAGGGTAGTCAGCCACTCAGCCGACACCCCTGAAAGTTTTAGTATATAGAGCACTGGAATGCTTTTGATTTGATATATTTTGGCTTCAGTAACTCATTACGAGTAAAAGAATATGACTCCTGGAAAATCGGCACTACCTCAACTTCCCAATACCACCATCTCCGACTATCGGAAAACAATGCCAACATGTGTCACTAATGCCATCTTCATGGAAATTTTAGAGAGGAAGTGGTCCAGCCCAGCTGGTCGCTGACTCACTCTCTCTTATGCGAGGTCCCAGGTTCAATTCTCAATGGAGTGAGATTGATCCCAGTTTACCTCAGGCCCCCCAAACCCCCTCCCCCTGACGCCCCCTGGGGTAAAAAAATAAAAATAAAATAAAAAGTGGAAATTTTAGAGAAATATTTGACATTTTAAAGAGTAAAAATGTCATTTTCATGGCTTATCGGGAAAAATGGCATTTTTACATAAAATAGCATTTTTTTTCTCCGATAAGAGGTGACATTATTGGGAGGTGGCAGATGTTGTGGGAAAGGCCTCCATATTTTATTTTTTATTTTTTATATGTTTTATCTATTCTTTATTTATTTTAAAATTTTATTATTTTCATTTATAAATTTTCTTAATTTTTACTCCTATTATTTTATTAATTTTTAAAATATTTTACATTTTTATAATTTTTTACGATTTTATTGTAAATTAAAATATCTTTTATTTTTAGATTTTTATTATAAATGAAAATACGATTTTCCGATTAAACTATGGTAATGGTAGAATAAGAAGATAAAGTATACTTTCATCCAATTTGGGACCATAAACAATATAGTCATACTTGTGCATTATATTCTTGGATTAGTTTAGTTCTATTTAAGACTATTTTCCCTATACAAATATATCAATTCTATAACTCTATTAGTATCACTTAAACTACCGTTTATGTAAGGTTCAAATGAAACATTCAACTTGATTTTTTAAAAATGATCCACCTTTACTATTTCATATTTAGTTAAGTTTTGACTCTAGTCCGGTAGTCCCTGAATCATTTTTCTTGCTCCGTTACTGCGTATACAAAAGGAATTATTGTATTATACGAAGTATATATATCTATTGTACTCCGAATTATTTTAATCTCATCTAATCTAATTTGATTTCATCATTACATTTAATTTGTTTGAGTAGATTAATGTTGAACTCATGGATGTAATTCTAAGTCTAATCTCGCTTGATCGAAAGTGTTGACTTGTTGAGCCATAAATCTTATGCGATTAATTCATTAAATGAAATTTAAATACATAAAAAATCAATGAGTATAAGATCTAAATGAAAAATTCTGTGTGTGCACGTCTCGTGTAAACACATCCATATTCACGCATCATTTTGTCTGTGATATCGAGATAAAATTTGAAATTATTGATCTTGTATAACAGGTAAATCGTTTTAAAAATGACACAAGTTGTTTCGAACACAAATAAATTTGGACGTCTACACCAAACCCCTTTTTATCTAAATTCATGACAATTTGACTAAACAAGGTATACCTTGAGAGGGACAGAAGCCATTTTGCCTGAACAGTCTAAATTTGAGAGCTGTGGAATAGAGATTATCTCTCCCCTTTTGGCTGCAACCTTTACTTCTCATCAAAGCTTCCGTTATTTCATCCTCAAAATGGTAAGCCAATCCCAGCCTTTGCAATTCATCAATCACCTCCATTTTCTCCAATTCTTCCATCTCTTCATTATTCAGCATGTTTTGAACCTTTTTCTTCAACTCATCATGTCTTGTCGCGTATCCCTCATCATCCTGCATTATTATTATCATCATTATTTTCAGAAAAATATTTGGTGTACACCATTTTGTGTACACTATTCGCACACTCTGTTTGTCTACGCGAACAGAGTTGTCTATATATATACAGACAAATCTGTATTTCGGAGAGTTGTCTATATACAGACAACTTTGTCTGTGTAGACGGAGAGTATATGTGAATGGTGTACACAAAATGGTGTACGCTACACATTCATCTTATTATTATTATTATTACGAAGTATTATTATTATTATTATTATTATTATTATTATAAGAATATACTTAAAATATTGTTCTGGGATTGTTTGAAGTAATGGAAACTAGCTAGGTACAGATAATAAGGAATTAAATTGTTAGATGTACTCTTTCTCATAATAGACTATACGTATGTAGTAAATAATAGTATTACTGTATAGTTGTTAGTGTTGATGGACTGAAGGTATGTGTAATCCCAAGTAGGAGGCTCATAATTCCCAGATCTTCTGCTTATTGTTGTTGCATGACTACACATGACACTAAACGAGGACCTTTGATGCTGAGCTGCTGCTGATCTTTTAGAAGTTTGAAGGCCATTACCATCAAAGATGCATACTGAAGCAGGCAGCGAAATGAGTATAGTCATAATTTATTGGACAATTCAAGAACATGTATCTCTCTGATTTCTTGTGTATATATAGCACAACCAAATAATTTGAAGACTGAATGTTTTCTAGTTTTGGTTCGCCACATTTTATAGGTAGATAGATACTACATACTCCCTGTCCCATTTTAGTTAGCTATCTTTAACTTTTCGAGTAAAAAATGCTAGACTATGACCTATAATATACGTACCGAGTATTTATATACGAAAGCATATACCTATAATATAAAAGTGAAATGAAAAATGTTCGTTATTAAAAATACTATTATAAAATTGTAAAATTTATAACTTTCACTAAAATATAAGTGTTCAAATGACTAATCAAAGCTTATCATCATTAAGTAGAAAAGTCTTTTGGGAGAGGGACACCTAAATTTGAAAAGGATTTGATGCACTTGTTTCCTATTTTATACACTTTTTTGTGTATATCTATGTCCCTTTTTTACTTGTGTACATATGTAATTTAATTTATTTATAAACAAAATTGTTTATGTACTTAAATAAATGTACTTGTATTAAAAAACTAGTATTGCTTTAATTAATACTACGGAGTAGTAATTAATAATATGCTACATGGTAGTTGATGAAATTATGCGCCGCACATAGAAAGAAAAAATCCTAGCGGCGAAGCATTGATCTTGGGCACACAGTCGGGATCGATTGATCGGTGACCATGGCGTAGGTCTTCAGTCACGATAGTTGAGCGCTCTACGTCACCAGCTCATGTTCTTCATTGCTTCGTTTTTTGCATAAAGTTTGGTTTGCTTCTCGGCATGTGTCCCGTCGTTTTGGTCCGGCACTTCACTTTGGCCTAGTTTGTCTTCGTTCGTTTCCGAACGGGGGTTTGAGTGTTGATTTCGTCA